TGGGGGGAGGGGGTTGGGTCCATCTTTAGGCCTGGAACGTGGCTCTATGTGGGGGTTGACCCCCTCTTTCTGACCTGTTTGCATCACGTTGCTCCCCGTTTCTAGCCTCAAAATGACGCGTTTGGTCTCAAAATGCTCCTTTGGTTTGTTGATAAAATGCTTTATTGATAAAGAGCCCCCCTTTGCCCGCTCACCCTTGGCTGCTTTTCTAGCACAGATCAGTGAATATTGGAAACAACAACATAAGGTCAGGGGTGCTCGTTTTTTTTTCCTCAAATAAAAAGCATTTTGGGGGGCCCATAGGCAAAAGGGAAGTTTCTTTGCTGCGGTTGCTTGCTGGGTGTCCTGGGGTGGCTTGAGCGACCTGGCCTGAAATTGAGGGGGAAGAAACGAAAAAGCACTCAAATAAAAAAAAAAACATTTTGGGAGAGAAATTGGGGTGAAAAACTTCTTATCCGGGGTTGTGTGTGGGGGGGATCGCATCAGGAGAGAGCGGCTTCCAAAATGGCGGCCGACGCCCTTTTCCAAAATGGCGGTCGGCGCCCATTTCCAAAATGGTGGCCCTCCCCGCTTCCAAAATGGCGCCGCTACCCTCTTCCAAAATGGCGGCGGCGGCCTCGGGCGGGGCAGAAGGGGGTGGCGAGAGATGAGGGATGCGTCCTCAAGATAGAAAAAAAAGACGAGTTTTTTTTTTTTCTCTTTTAAGGAAATAACATTTTTTTGGCAAAATTTCCGGTTTGGTTCAGCAGGCTGCTGGCGTCCTGTCCTGTGGGACGGAATGAGGGATAAAAGGGGAAATTCCCTTGTGCCCATGTGCATCCCTGCACGAAATCGGCTTTAGTTTGCCCCAAAACCCGGGGAATTGCCCCAAATGCCGTTTAGCTCCTGCCTCAGGGACCAAGACGTCTTCCCTGCTTTTGGCCTATGGGAAGTGGATCCGTGTCCCGAGATGCGAGCGAGACAGCGGGATCCATCGCTTTGATGGATCCATATTCCCGTATTCCACTCAGGCACGGCAATATTAGCTTATTATCGATGCTAATAAACCAACCAAAGCCCCTAAATCATCTTTTATCGGTTGCGGAAAAGGTTATTCATGTGGTGAGTCTAATGGGGACCCCAGCCTGGAGGGGCAGCATCACCAGGGGTGACATCAGCTCTAAACCCTTTTGCGAATAAGCAAATAAATAAATAAGCAACCGAAATGGACATTTTTTTAAATATTTGAGTCAAGATGAAGAACCCCAGGGGTGTTTTTATGCAAAACGGCCCCATTCAGACGAGGCCACAAAATGGCCGACCCCCTCAGGGGCGAGCGGCCGCCACCTCCCCGCCCTCGAGGCGGCTCTGTGACGCATGCGGGGGCGTGGCCTCCCTCGGCCAATGGGAGGGCTCGGCGCGCTTATTTGCATGCGGCAGGGTATAAAAGGCGGGGTGGGGGCGGCCGCGCGCGCAGTCACCGGGGCGCTGAGGCGGGACGCGAGCGATGGCGGCAGCCGAGAAGGGGAGCAGGAAAAGCGCCGCTTTAAGGAGGTGGAAGGCGCCGCGCGCGGCCAAGCCGAAGCAGCCGCAAGGAGCGCGCAAGGCAAGGCGGGTGGCCGGGCGGAAGGGCGCCCCGGGGCCGCGCGGCGCCAAGGGGGCCCGGCCGGGCCGGCGCCGCATGTCGGAGCGGGCGCAGGCCCTCATGGCGAGCTTCGTGAGCGACATCTACAAGCAGGTCTCGTCGGAAGCGCGGCGCCAGTGCCAGCCCGGCCCCGCCAAGGCCGCCCCCAAGGCCTCGCGGGCCGCCCTGGCCGAGGCGCCGGCCCCCGTCCCCGAGGCGTCGCCGTGAGGAGCCTCCGTCATCCCTGTGTGAGGTGGAAAAACACCCTAAAAAAAACAACCGCTCCCACGGGACAGCCGCCCCCAAACACCCCCTTTTGCAGCGCTCAATTTCCAGCTCGACCGTCTCCACGGCACCCAAAGGACAGAAATGGATAAATGCGATTAAAGGACTTTAAAAAAATACCAGAAAAACTTAAGATAAAGCATCTAGATCTTCGTGGCAGTGCAATAAAAGCGGAACGTAGCTGCAACCGGCTTCGGCGGTCTTATTTTATCGAGGGGAAAAGGGGTCGGCACCGAGTTTTTCCGCCTCTTTTAGGCAGGGAATTCCCAGTGGGAATTCCGGAGCTCGGAGAGGGTTGGATCCAGGGCTGGGTGTTCTGGGCTGAGGGATCCCCAAAGTGGCCAACGGAGGACCCAAAATTGCTCATTTGTCACCCGGGAGACACATTTGAGTGCCGACCTCTTGAGAATCCTGGGTTTTTGAGGCAGAAAACACGTGTTTTGGGTGCGGTGCCCACCTCCACACCTCCAGCTTCCCCAAATCCCCCCCAAAACAGATTCCTACTTCTCCCAAACCACAAAAAGGACCATTTTGGTGGCAGGAAATGTGTTTTTTTTCTCCCGCCCGGTACCGCGCCGGTGCCAAACGTCCCTCCGGAGACACTGGACATCTTCCCCCCTCAACGATCTCCATTTTGGGGCCGTTTTCGCCTTATTTCGCGTTGACGAGACCTTCTCTCCAAGCTCTCCCTTCACGCGCTCGTTGGGCGACGCTGGTGTCGATCGGACGTCGTTTTGGGGCACGTTGCGTTGGAAACGGTACCGGGCAGCTCATAGGGTCTTTTGAGACTAATTTTCTTCTCTTTTTTCCCCTTTTTTCCCTCTTTCTCATCCTAAGGGGCGGTTCTTTGCTCTGGGAGATTCAACATGGTCATTCTTGGGGCTACGATGACCAGCCACAGATGGTGGAAGCCGCGTACGGCCTTTTAAGACTAAATTTGATCCCGTTTTTCTTCTTTCTTCCATTTTCCCCATCCCAATGAGTTGACAGGAGACATCCGTGGTCGTTCTTTGGCCTCGGAGACTCAACACGGTCCTCGTTGGGTCTCCAACAGCCAACTGCAGACGGTGGTGGAGGCCACATAGGATTTTTGGGGAGACCTCTGATCCTCGTTTTCTCCTTCCTCCCACTTTGCGCCTCCCCGGGGCCTCGCGGCCCTACGCGGCCCGGCCGCGCACGGCGCCGCCCCGGCCCTTGAGCAGCTTGGCCAGGGCGGCGCGCAGCTCCGCGGTGCCGATGAAGGAGCCGCGGCGGCGCCGCCGGCGCCGGTCGGCCTCCGTCACCACGCCGCGGCACAGGAGGCCCACGCGCGAGGCCATCAGCCTCCGCGCCTGCGGCGACATGGGGCATGGCCCCCGCCGCCCCCGCCCCTTCCCCGCCTGCTTCTTCCCGCGGGATTTTTCCCACTTTCTCCCGCCCGCGGCCATGGGGGCGGCGCCGGCTTTGGAGCCGCGGCTTCCCCCGGGGCGCCTATATACGGCACCGCATGCAAATGAGGGATCCAAAGCGCGCGCGGCGATTGGCTGGGGCGTTGCCGCCCTGCCATTGGCTGGCGCCTGCTCTGGAGCCACCACCGCCGCCAGGGCTCTATATATGGCGTGGCATGCAAATAAGGGATCCAAAGCGCATGCGGCGATTGGCTGCGGCGCCGTTGCCCCGCCATTGGCTTGCCATACTGCTGCCCCTTGTGACGTCATCGCTTCATTTGCATAAGGAGCACAGGCGCCAGTTGCCCCCACTACCTTATTTTTATTATTATTATTATTATTATTACTATTACTATTACTATTATTACTATTATTATTACTATTGTTATTATTACTAATACTACTATTACCCTTCTTATATTATTATTATTATTACCCATATTATGTTATGCTATGTTATTGTCTACTATTTTATACTATGTTATAATACATTATATTACGTTACATTATATTACATTATATGAAATATTACATTAATCATTATTATTGTTAACACTATATTTTTATTGGATTTGCCCAAGCAAAGCCCAAAAGAGCTTCGAAATTCACACGCTCTGCCCCCCCGCCCCAAGAAACATCCCAATTTGGATCATTCCTCGAGGTAATGTGTAGTTAATTGTTATTAAATAAAAATAAAATAAAAATTAAAAAAGCAGCAATTCCCCCTTTTTTGGGAGGGTTTTATTCAGCTTTTTGGATAAAAAGGGAGGGCTTGTAAAGTGCAAAAAAAAAGTGCCAGGGAGGGCAAAAAGAGGAAAATAGAGAGGAAAAAAAAAGAGCAATAATTTGAAAGAAGAAAAAAGGAAAATTGAATTTCAAAATAAAGGTGAAAAGGAGGGATTTCAGGAAATTTTGCACGAGTTTCCCTGGTGGTCTAGTGGTTAGGATTCGGCGCTCTCACCGCCGCGGCCCGGGTTCGATTCCCGGTCAGGGAATGCCCTTTTTTCCCAACCCCTTTTCTTTCCCCCACAATAAGAGGCAATTTAGTTAATTAATTAATGTGTGTGTTTTTGGGTGCAAAGAAACCCACGCCACCACTGCCTGCTGCTAAATTCCGCTTTATTGTGATGCCCATCACCACTCTTTTATTTCTGCTGTCTCTTTAACCGATTATAGGATGTTTTGGGGCGATTGGGGGAGTTTTTTTTATATAGATTTTTGCTGTTTGCAGCCGCTCTCTGTAGTTCTCATTTAAACCCCAGGAATCCCCGTGGTCTCAGGCTGGTTCCTCATCCCAGGGCTCCATCCCAGCTGGATTTTCCTTCCCTAGCAGCAGCCGTTGCAGTTTCCAACCATGCCCAAATTGCAGCCTTTTCCCCCCAAATCCCCGCTCTATGCAAACCGGTGACTCTCGCGGCGCTTTGGCAGCAGCTTTTGAGGTTTTCCGGGTGCATTTTGCTCCCCTTTGGCACCTTTTCTTCGCGTTGCAGCTCTAGGAGGGGCTGGAGGGAAGGAAAGGGGTCGAGACTGGGGGATTTTGGGGGGTTTCGGGGCGTTTCTCAGTGCGGCCCGCGGGACTCCACGGTGGGCGGGTGCCCGCGGTGGCTCTTGGGCATGACGTGGCGCAGCGCGGCCTGCACGTGCTCGGGGCTCACGGTGGGCCGGCGGCTCTCGCGCCGCAGCCGCTCGGCCTCGCGCGACACCCGCTTCGCCAGGTCGTCCACGAAGTGGATCATGAGCCCCTGCGCCTTGCTCGAGAGCAGCCGCCCGTCGCGCCGGATCTGCCGCAGCGTCCGCGAGTCCATGGGCCGCGAGGAGCAGCGGCCGCGGCGGCCGCGCGGC